CCCCCGGCCCCGTGCTTCCCTTCTTTCCTCTCCTGGGACTCTTCCTCAGAATGATGCATCTCTGACAATAGCTGGGGATGAAAAGCACAGGACATTAAATGGAAGTTGTTAAATACAGCTCCCCCATACTGTAGTATGTCTCAATACCAAACATCCCAGGATGGACGAAAATACCCTGTTACTCATGCCATGCGTTGCCATTAAAAGAAACATGCGTAAACAGAACAAATTGTGGAGCTTTACTTTGGGTTTTTCCAGCCTTGATTAAAAGAGGATTCCCTGGGAATGCAAGCTGGTGCAGCCACTCTGGAAAACAGTATGGAGGTTCCTCAAAAAACTAAAAATAGAACTACCCTACCACCCAGCAATTGCACTACTAGGCATTTATCCAAGGGATACAGGTGTGCTGTTTCGAAGGGACACATGCACCCCAATGTCTATAGCAGCACTATCAACAATAGCCAAAGTATGGAAAGACCCCAAATGCCCATCAATGGGTGAATGGATAAAGAAGATGTGGTACATAGACACAATGGAGTATTACTCAGCAATCAAAAAGAATGAAATCTTGCCATTTGCAACTACGTGGATGGAACTGGAGGGTATTCTGCTAAGGGAAATTAGTCAGAGAAAGACAAAAATCATATGACTTCACTCCTATGAGGACTTTAAGAGACAAAACAGATGAACATAAGGGAAGGGAAACAAAAATAATGTAAAAACAGGGAGGGGGACAAAACAGAAGAGACTCATAAATAAGGAGAACAAACAGAGGGTTACGAGAGGGGTTGTGGGAGGGGGATGGGCTAAATGGGGAAGGGGCATCAAGGAATCTACTCCTGAAATCGTTGCACTAGATGCTAACTAATTTGGATGTAAATTTTAAAAAATAAAAAATAAAATTAAAAAAAAAATAGATAAGACAAAAACAATCCAGTAAAAAAAATGGACAAAAGATTTCAAGATAGTGTTTACAGGAGAATAAATGTAGGCAGCTTTTAAGCATATGAAAATATGCTCAGCTTTGTTCCTTCATAGTAAGAGAAATACACATTAACCAGAACAATACCATTTCCCATTTATTATATTGTTACAAATCTGAAAGTTCCATAACACAGTGTGTGCGTTGATGGAGGGCAACTGGAGATTGCATCTAAATTGGAAATGTAATCCTTTGACCCACGGATTCTACATGTAGCACTGTAAATTTCACATATATTTGCACACATTAAAAAAGACGTACAAGATTTAAATAAATAAATATATACATAAATAAATAAATAAAAAAGGATTCCCTATACTAGTCTTTTCTACTATTGTTTGGTGTTTAGAGGTTCTTGTGTTTGCAGCATAAAGGAAGATGAGACACAGGAAGGTGGGGAGAGGCTAGGCCTTTCTTTGTAAAGTGGGAGGAAATTGATTAGGAAAGGGAAGGAGCTGGGCGCCTGGGTGGCTCAGACAGTTTCGCTTCAACTTAGGCCCAGGTCATGATCTCACGTTTCATGGGTTCCAGCCTCTCGTCGGGCTCTGTGCTGACAGCTCGAAGCCTGGAGTCCGAGTCTCCCTCTCTGTGTCTCCCTGTGTCTTGTCTCCCTCTCTCTCTGCCCCTCTCCCGCTCGCTCTCTGTCTCTGTCTCTCTCTCTCTCAAAAATAAATAAGCGTTTAAAAAAAATACAAAAAAGGGGCGGGCGCCTGGGCGGCTCCGTCGGTTGAGTGTCCAACCTCAGCTCAGGTCATGAAAACGGCAACTACAAAACCATTCAGCAAAAACGTATAAGCAGAACTATCCATTTATTTTCATCGGCATATTCTCTTACGTTGAAATTTTTTTTTTAATTTCGTTTAAAAGCAGTTTCTCATCATCTAACCTATAGGTCATATATGTGACCACATGAAATTCGCCCTGCAGTAATAAGGTTCTTTTACATCTTAATTAGACTGATTCTAGTTGTCATTCCTACTTTGCTAAGAATAATGTTCAAATTCTGTTTTCTATGCTGTATTGTACCTTATTTTTAAAAAGCTGTTTCAAGTAATGAAGTGTAAAATAAAATTGTCGATGGTAGAAGAGACTAGAATCAAAGTTGTATTTTTAAATCTGCCTGAATTAGCTGACTATAATACAGGGATACATTAAAATGACCATTGGCAGATGATGTCTATGTTGCAGACAAAATGGATCTTCCGGAGTAATTAACTTAAGAATTGCGAGCTAATGTAAAAACATTATGATTTTTTTTTTTTTTTTTTTGCCAAACTGAAATCTTAGCTTTCTGTTGTTGACAGAAAACGCCCCCAAGGCGGGATTGAAACAAGAGCAGCGCCAAGACATCCAATTGCCTAGTGGGACTGTGTTGTCCCAGGAAACACCACCAGTCGAGACGAATGTTTGGAAATCAACAGAGGTAAGTCATTGTGGCAGTTTCCTGTTGCCTCTGTAACAAATTACCACAAACTCCGTGCCTTAAATCAGCACAGATGTGTCATTTTGCAGTTCTGTAGGTCAGAAGTCGGACACAGGACTCACTGGGCTAAAATCAAGGTATCATCTGCAGCCTGCCTCCCTTTCTGGAGGCCTGAAGGGAAAATTTGTTTCCTTGTCCTCTCTGGCTTCCTGTGTTCTAAGAGAACACTTGTCTTTTAATTTTACTGTCTTTTGTTTTACCCCGTTTTAAATAAGAACGCGGTTAAATTACGAAAGTTTTCCGTTAAAGCTCATGCTTTAAAAAAAATCTTCCTAAAGAAATTCTTCTTTATCCTAATAGAATAAAGCTCTCTTATCTTTTCTTCTAAATGAAATCCTCGTGTCCTCTAGAATATTACCACATACCATAAGAGAGGGGTCTTACTGTCTTTATACCTGTGGATAAACAGTGTTTAATTTATTGTACAGTCCATCTCTCTCTACTCATCTAAAATAACTTTTTAAAAGACTTCAGGAAGTTGCAGAAATAGTACAGACTCCCATGTACCCTTTACCCGGCTTCTCCCAATGTTGGCATCTTATATAACTGCGGTGCAACATCAAAATGAGGAAATGGATGTTGGTATGTTACTGCTAACTAGATTACGGACCTTATTCAGTTTCCAAATTTTTAATTCACTATTCAATTAAAAAAATTTTTTTAATGTTTATTTATTTTTGAGGGAGAGACAGAGACAGAGCACGAGTGGGAGAGGGTCAGAGAGAGAGGGAGACACAAAATCCAAAGCAGGCTCCAGGCTCTGAGCCGTCAGCACAGAGCCCGATGCGGGGCTCGAACCCGTGAACCGTGAGATCATGACCTGAGCTGAAGTCGGATGTTTAACTGACTGAGCCACCCAGGCACCCCTCACTAGCTGATTTTTTAACCTCCATTTGTGTGTGTGTGTGTGTGTGTGTGTGTGTGTGTGTGTGTAGGGGGAGTGCTATGCAATTTTATTCTAAGTATAGATTCATGTAATCACCAAAAGAAATCCCTCATGCTATCCACCCATCTCATTCCCCACACCCCAACCACGTCCTCCCCTGACGACCACTAATCTTTTCTCTATCTTTATAGTTTTATTATTTCTAGAATGCTATGTAAATGAATTCAGACCATATGTAATCTTTTGAGATCGTTTTAATTTTTTTCACTTAGCATAATGCTCATGATGTCCATTCAGTTGTGAAGTTTTTGTATCTCTGGGATAAATGTCTAGGGGTGTGATTGCTAGGTTGTATATTAAGTACCTACTAAATGTGGTAAGAAACTGTCCACCTGTTTCCTAGACTGGCTGTACCATTTTACATTCCCACCAGCAGTGTAGGAGAGACCCAGTTTCTCTGCCTTCTCACCAACTTGTGGCATCACCGTTTTTATTTTGGCTATTCTAATAGGTTTGTGACGATATCTCATCATGGTTTTTAGTTGATGTTTCCCCAAATGGCTAATGATGCTGAACATCTTTTCGTGTGCTCGTTTGTATCATCGTCACTTCTCTTCGGTGACATATATCTTCATATCTTTTGCTCATTTTCTAATTGGACTGATGATGGTTTATTACCGTTGAGTTAGGAGAGTTCTTTGTATATTCTGGATACCAGTGTGTTTCTACTTGTGCTCTCATCCATGAAGATGTTCATCTTGTTTTTGAGCATGACCTGTGTCTTTAATTTTCACATCTGTATTTTTCTCTTTCATTGCTGTGTGTTTGGGGAGGGAAGGTATCCCCAAAGTTTGAATTTACAGAACCATCTTGACTGGAAATCTGTTCCATTTAAGACTGTTTACAATGATCTCATCACTCATTTGTTTTTCTGTTTTATGTGTGTTTCTCCTTCTAGAAGGAAAGCTCCTTGAGAGTAACGACCATTTTAGTCTTACTCATTACTGAATCTTCACTTGCCAAATTTTTGTTAATGAAGAAATGACTGAATGGTAGACACTCAATTTTAACTTCCTTCTCTTCCTCCCCTGTGAAAGAGGCTTGTTTGGTCTTCTGTTTTGTTTAGTGTTCCCTGCCACAGTTCCTATGAGAGTGGCTGGAATTATTTATTGACCTTCTGATCCCAACCCTTTCCCTGAACCCAGTTAGGTATTGGATTTGCCTGATTTTCTAGCAGCCCAGAAAAGTACATAAAATTAAAATTTCACTTTTCCCTAATTGCATCACAGCCCACGGACTGAAAGAAAATATGTAGACCGTTTTAAAAGATATGACATTAAGCAAAATTATTTTTATTATTATTGTTATTTTTTTAAGTTTATTTATTTTGAGAGGTGGGGGATGAGGGGAGAGAGAATCCCAAGCAGGTCCCGCGCTGTCAGCACAGAGCCTGATGTGGGGCTCGAATTCATGAGCTGAGATGAAATCAAGAGTCTGACTCCCAACAGACCGAGCCACCCAGGCACCCCAAGCAAAATTATTTTTAAATATGCGGTCAGTTTTGTTTACTGCCGATGGCTTTTAAGGGAGAAAATAGACTTCAATAGTCTTACATGCTTTGGAGCCTAACAAAGACATAAAGTGCCACCTAGCTTTTTTTGTATCAGTCCCCAAATTCTCATTATTATTGTTTTTTTCTGACTTTAGAGGAAACCGCTGTAATTGATTTACATCATTCAGCATCTTATATCAGTTAGCAAAAAATGGTGCCCTTCTCTCAAAAGAAGTTTGAAGTTAGATTTCTCTTTCTCAAAGCATTACTATATCATGACACTATTCCATCATTTTACTGACGAGCATCTCTCTTATTACTGTCAGGAACATTTGATGTGACCCAATATATCCTCTCCAGAAATCTGCTTTTGTGGCAGAAGACAAAACCTACCAGGCTGAACAGTGAATCTAATTGTTGTTGCCAAATGTACTACATCTACATTAAAATTCTCATGTTCTTAATACAGAATGAGAAAGAAATGATACTGTTGATTGCTTAGGCAGATGAAGGGGGCTTAAAAATATCTTCTAAAAACTTTAAATAGAAATCTCTTTATTCTCTTTCTACAAATGAAAGGATGATCTAAAAGCAGTAAATAAAATTCTTAACAGAACAGGGCATTCAAAAGCAGAGCAGAGCTTGCTTGTGGTACTTTCAAAACTCAGGAAAGCCTTTAAACGTACAGCACTTAGACATGGGTATGTGTTCTCTCTAGGTACTGCCCAGAATCTTTATTATTGAATTTGATAATTAATAAGGTTATTACGTAGCCTTTCACCACCTCAAGAGACCTTCCTCTTTTCCTGTTTGAGGAGATTCAACAATGAGGGTTATGATTTTTTTTTTTTTTTTTTTTTTTTTTTTGGTCACAGTTGTTTCTATAGCAACCGATAGGGACGCTATGAATTGGTTCACGCAGAATTAAAGCTGACCAAAGCCTTCAGTCTAGTTGTGAGTTTGGAAGTGACGGGAGATAAATGTTTATTTCCTCCTGCTTCTGTTTATTATTTTGTTAAATGAAGAGTAAACAGTTTTTATCCTTGGGCTTATTAGCATATCATTTATTATATTTGCAAAACTTTGAACTCATCAAAGCTGTTAGGGAAATGGAAATTGTACCTATTCTAATCATGCTAATCCATCATCCCCTTACTTCGTTTCTGCATCATTGCTTTATGCTAAAAAGCCCTTTTTTATTTTCATGTCTGTACTTTTATTCTTTTCAAGTTGGAAGATACTTGCTGGAAAAAGTTGAAACAATATGAAAGGGTCAAGAGTGAAAAACAAAGTTTCTTCTTACTTCTCTATACACCTTCAGTTCCTTCCTTCCCTTGGAGGCATCCGTTACCAACTAGGTTCTTAGAAATCTGGGAGGGAAATTTTCTGTGTCCAGGCATTTCTTTTATCTAAGGATTCATTCCGTATATACTGCTCTGCAGCATGCCTCGAACTAAACAATGTATCTTGGACATCTTTTTTATTTATGTAATAAATGCAAATGTATTCATGTAATAAATGCAATGATTTGGTGTGTGTTGTTCCACATCTTTTTCGCTAAACTGTAGATCATGGATGTCTTTCTCTATCAGTATGGATAGCGGTGCTGTATTCTTTCTTATTTTTAAAATTGCTTAATGTTTATTTATCTTTTGAGAGACACAGAGAGCGAGTGGGGGAGGGGCAGGGAGAGGGAGACACAGAATCCGAAGCAGGCTGCAGGCTCCGGGCTCCGAGCTGTCAGCACAGAGCCCGACGCGGGGCCTAAACTCACAAACTGCCAGATCATGACCTGAGCTGAAGTCGGACGCTTCGCCGACTGAGCCACCCAGGCACCCCTAGCTGTGCATATTCTTGATGCATAAATGAATCTTCGCTTATTTGGCCATCCCCTGTTGGTAATCATTTAGGGATATTTTTATGTTTTTGTCTATTAAGAGCAATATTGTAACAGCGGTTCTTGTACACATTTTATATGATGCTGTCCTAAAAGGGGACTCGCTGAAAGATTATATTTATTTTTAGTTTTGAAAAGTACTGCCACACTGTCCTCCCAAAAGTTGCACCGATTTATGCCCACCAAAAGCATAGTTTTGCAAATACTGAGTATTATCAAACTTGTACACTTTTTTGTCTGAAAGGTGGGGAAAATTTGTTTTAATTTATTCCATTGTAATTGCAGGTAAGACTGGAAGAACTTTTCACATGTTTCTCGGGGATTTGTGTTTCTTTTTTTTTAAGTTTATTTATTTACTTAGAGAGAACATGTGAGTGGGGGAGGGGCAGAGAGGGAGAGAGAGAGAATCCCAAGCAGGCTCCTCACTGTCAATACAGAGCCCGATGCAGAGCTCGAACTCACAAACCGTGAGATCACGACTTGAGCGGAAGCCAAGAGTCAGACACTCAACCGACTGCACCACCCAGGTGTCCCTGTGTTTCTTTTTTATTATTAACTATTCATCTCCTTTGCTCGTTTTTCTGTTTGGTTTCTCATCTTTTTGT